AGCATGGCTGGGGGGGGCGCACATCTGCTGCTCCTGGGACCGGCTTCCCTGACCTCTCAGGGCCGCCCCCGGGTCACCTGTACGGGAGGGACAACCACCTCATGTGGGCTTGTAGACAGAATCGAAGCGGCGTGTGTATGCAGCGTGCCGGCGCGGGCACCCAAGAGTGGCAGCCTCCTCTCCGTCTACCCGGGCTCTCCGAGGATAACTGGGCTCTGGAACATTCTCAGCAGAATGGCATCCCCACGAAGAACGATGGGAGCTCTAGCAGTCTTTACTGTTCTCTAATTGCCTTTGGTTCAAAAGAACAAAGATTATGGGGCACCTGGTGGTCAGTCGGTTGAGCGCCCGACTTCGGCTCAGGTCACGATCTCACGGTTCGTGGGTTCGAGCCCCGCACTGGGCTCTGTGCTGACAGCTCAGGGCCTGGAGCTGCTTCAGATTCTGTGTCTCCCTCTCTCTCCGCCCCTCCCTGCTCACTCTCTCTCTCTGTCAAAAAAAGTAACTAAATATATTTTTTTTAATTCAAAAGAACTAAAATTAAACCACAATTTTGTTGGCATTTACACAGAACCTCGAACCTGGTCTTCACTCAGGGGTCTAAAAAGCCCTAAGCAGAGACCCCGGAGGGAAAAGCACCAACCAACCAACCAACAAAGCTAAAGACAAAAAAAAGAGGCAGAGGACCCAGCAGGCAGCGAGCAAGATGTGAGGGAAACTCGGGGGAAGCGGCCGAAAAGGATGTGGGACCGAAGAGGAAAGTGGACGTGGGCCACTTAGATGAAAAGGGAAGTAGAGAACAGGGAAGATGATTGGAAACAGTGGGTAAATGGTGACCCCAAAGAAGTGAAAAAATAAACGAGCAGGCCTGAGAAAAGGAAGTGGGCCGGGGGGTTCAGGGCAGGATGGAGAAGGGGCGAGGGAGGGGTTCACGCAGCAGGCTCGGCTCTGCTGAGTGGGGGCCGCATGTGCGCTCCGCGCTCTGCTTCTGGGCTCAGCTCAGACTCTTGTATGTGGACACCATTTAGTCAAAGCTTGACTTGCGGAAGAGGGGCGAGGAGCCGGGACTTGGGGGGGTGCGCTAGAGCTGGCCACGGCCCTGCACCCCCGGCTCAGGCGGCTGGGGAAACCCCGCAGACGGGGCTGATCTGCCTGCGTTCCCACACTTGGTGGCCTGGTGGCCTCGGGCCAGGAGAGCCGGTGTCCGGCCGATCAGACCCCCGGTGGCCCTTCAGCCCGGCCCGGAGACCACCCTCGAGGGCCTGCCCCCGTCTCTAAGCTCATCTCCCAGTCCTGGGACCTCTCAGAGGATCCAGAAATGATTAAGAGGACCCACCCTTCCTAAGAAGCTCCCTCCCTCGACAAGTTCAGAGGAATAATTGAGTGAAGTCCTTCCTTTGATGTCAGATCTCTGATGTAAATGGTGCCCTCCGTGCTCCCGGCTTCTGAGCCAGCAAAGCCGGGTTCACACTGGCTGAGGCGCTCACTGGCTGCAGGCCCCCTCCCAGCCGCACTGAACGGTGGGGGTGGGCCGTCCCTGAGCAGGGCGAGGCTGGGCTGGGTCCCGGGCCACGCAGGAGGGCGGGCTGACCCTGGCAGCGGGGATTCTCACCCAGAGCGCCGGCTCGGCTGCAGGGGCTCCGCAGGCGGCTCGAGCGGCACTTGGCTTGCTTCTCTACACCTTTCATTCATTCACTCACTCACTCATTCATTCATTCAACACACTAGGCATCCACTAAGTGCTCAGAGTTTAAGCCAGGCCCGTGGCCTGGGGTCCAGAAAGACACTCGTGTGCCCTGTTGGCGCCTCTGGGAACGGGACAGCTCAAAGGCACTGTCACTACAGAGCACCGGGAATGAAGGTCAAGGACACAATGTCTATATTCCGACATGTGTTCCTCTGGCGTCTGCTCCGTGCCTGGCCCCTCCCTCTCTTGAACGCTGGTCGACAGAGCTGCAGAAGGTGCCGGTCCTCTCCCGGGACCTGGGGTCCGGGCGGGGCAGACGGGCTGGCCACAGGCCAGCCGCATGGCCTTGGGCAAGTGACTTGCTGCCGTGAGTGCACCTACTTGTCGGCAGAGATCACCATCCCCTTATGCGCTGGCTACCATTTCCTGGGCACGAACCACACGCCGCTCGTTACCGTATTAGACTGTTTGCTTGTTTATTTTAATCTTCCATATAACTCGTATTTCTGTTTCTTTTTAAAATTTCAACTGAATTAATGAAAATCTTCTCCCCAAATAGGTAATATGTGTTCAGCAAAGAGCCTGAGAGCTGAGTAAACACTCAGCAAAGGTTTCCTCACTCCTCCCCAACCCCGAAAAATCTGTAAAGAAAATATTTTTTATTTCAGGGGAAAAAAATAAAACAGACTCTGCAGACGAGATTTCCACAAGGCCTGGGGCGGGAGTGAGCAGTGCCTAGAGGGCCCCTTCTGCTTCCTCACCACGTGCACCTATTTGAGTGCCTGCTGTATGCTCCCCTCAGAGCGGCGCCCTGGGCAGATGTGAGCAGATGAGGGACGTCAGACTCAGAGGTTACAAGTTCACCCAAGGTCACTTGGCCAGAGAGGGCAGAGACATGAGACTGAGCCAAGGGAGGGCCCGAGTCTGCCCACCTCCTGGCTCTCCCCTCAGTGGCCCGGGGACCCCTGCGAGCAGGTTTAGAGGAGGTCCCCGTGGAGAAGGCGCAGCGCCGAGGGGGGAAATGCAACCTACTTCACGCAGGTTCGGGAAAATCTAGCCAACCCCCCAGCACACGGTCTCTGGGCTGCAGGACCGAGCACAGGCAGAGCGATGCCACAGTCTCTATTGTCCTTGACCCCTCTCAAGGTCAGCTTTGCCTTGGGGGAGGAGAAGGGAGAGGGGAGTGGCTGCAGGCTGCCTAACTTACGACCACTGAGAGCTGGACGCGTCCGAACAGAGGTGCGGGAAGCCACCTGCGCTGGGTGGGAATGTCCCGGTCTCCCCGGAGCTCCGCTCGGGCCATTTCAAGCTGACATTTGTGTGGCTCAAAAAGGGTAGCGTCTCAGCCATTTTATGTGGTTAACCTTAAACAGTATTTCTTTAAGTTTATTTATTTATTTTGAGAGAGAGCAAGAGAGTGCACATGGGAGGGGCAGAGACAGAGGGAGACAGAGAATCCCAAGTGGGCTCTGTGCTGACAGCGCGGGGCTCGATCCCACAAACCCATGAGCTCACGACCTGAGCCGAAATCAAGATTCAGATGCTCGAGGTTCCTGGGTGGCTCCGTCGGTTGGACGTCTGACTCTTGGTTTCTGCTCAGGTCGGGATCTTGCAGTTTGTGAGTTTGAGCCCCATGCCAGGCTCGGCACTGACCGTATGGAGCCTGCTTGGGATTCTCTCTCTCCCTCTCTCTCTGCCTCTCCCACATGCACTCTCTCTCTCTCTCTCTCAAAATAAATGAATAAAATCTTAAAAAAGAGAGAGAAACACTCAACTGACTGAGCCACCCAATCACCCCTAAACTTAAACATTATTGAGTAGGGTCACAGCCAGAGGTCTGTTTCTGAGACGAGGGTATTGCAGCTTAGAGCACAGAATGCACTCACTTTCCCTGGGATGTTGGGAATTCCAGCCCAGGCCGAGAGGGCCCAAGTCAGAAAGGCTTAACCCACTTTGTCCCAGAAGAATCTGGATAAGCTGCACCGATGCGCCAGAACCCAAAGCAGAGGCTGGGAAGGGGGAAGCAGAGCCCTGGCTGGAAGGGTGGGTCCTCACCTTGACACCACAGTCTGGGCAAGACCAGTGTGAAAAGGAGGCAGTGGGGTGTGGATGGTCCTTTGGTTAAACAAGTGTGAACTTGGCGTTTAGTTGTGGTGGGGAGGGGGCAGTGACAACCAGGCGGTGTGCTCTGAACGTGCTTGGGGTTTCTCGGGGCCTGTCTGTGGCATCACAAGGAAGAGGAGGAGGCCTCCGAGGGTGGGCGAGGGGGGAGGGGAGCCCTCGGGGCCTCTGGAGTGAATAACACGGAGTCCTGGCTAGGGAGGAGGGGGAGGGTGTGGCTTACTTCCCAACCTGGGCAGAGAGGTCTCCTGCTTCCATTTTTGGGCTGGAGGACCAGGAGTAGGGGGGAGGCCCGGGCCCCAGCGAGTGCAGGGCTGCGAATTACAGGATGAATTCGCCACCCTGGGCCCCGCACCGCAGGCTAACGGGGCATGGTCCCCTATACAGGGTCCATCGGCCTTTTTGTGACAGCAGAGGCCCTGAGATGGCAGTGGTGGCACCCTCTTCACTTGGCCGCCCGCGGCTGCCCGCTTCAGAACAAAGGTCTTTCCGACTTCTGGTGCTAACACAGAAGGGTCCTGGGCACAGACGAGGTGGTCCCTCTGGACTGTAGGACTCTGTGTCTCGTCCCGGAAGGAAGAGAAGGGCCTGGTGGCTCCAAGAGGAAGAGAAAGGAGCCTCAACAATGATGAGGGGCTCAGGGCACAGGTGCGCTCGAGGCTCCGGGGTCTTCAATCTTGGCTTCCTGCGCAACAAACTGGGGTCCCGAGGGTGGAGGGGTGGGGATAAGGAAGGAAGTGGAGAATTGCTGGGGGGAAGTTCGGGCCACTCGTGTGAATTATGGCTGCACCCCCACCGCCCCGCCCCGCTTCTCCACACCCACAGTCCTCTCCCCCACCGTTGACACACTGGTCAACCTCTCGGATCGACGTTTGAAGATCCAAGAAGAAAAGATCTGTCTCAAGCTTTCAAACGTCTAGATTCAAATGCTAGCTGAGCCATTCACGGCGTAGCTCTGACCAAGTCCCTGAACCTCTCAGGGACCTGGCTTTGTCTTCTGTCAGAGAAAGCCTTTATAGCACCTATCAAGAGTCTGTTGTGGGGATTAAACAAGATGTGTGTGTGACAGTGGCAAGTGTACTGTTTAGGCAGCCGATACCTGTTTCTTTCAGCCTGCTCCTGTGCGGGGCCAGATAGAATCCCAACTTTGTTTCTCTGAGAACTAATGCTGTTATTTGTCTTCCCTTCTGATCCAGGTCGTCACCATGCCCACCCACTCCCCTGCGTTGACTTTAGAACCTTTCGAGTACGATGAGTCCGCTGAAGCCTGTGATATAGGAGATGCTGTGGCCTTCGGGACCGTCTTTCTGTCCATACTCTATTCCCTTGTCTTTGCCTTTGGCCTGGTGGGGAATTTGCTGGTAGTGTTTGCCCTCACCAACAGCCGGAAGCCCAAGAGCATCACCGACATTTACCTCCTGAACCTAGCCTTGTCTGATCTGCTCTTTGTAGCCACATTGCCTTTCTGGACTCACTACCTGATAAGCGAGCAGGGCCTTCACAACGCTATGTGCAAACTCACTACCGCCTTCTTCTTCATCGGCTTTTTCGGAGGCATATTCTTCATCACCATCATCAGCTTCGATAGGTACCGGGCCATTGTCCTGGCTGCCAACTCCATGAACACCCGGACCGTGCAGCACGGCGTCACCGTCAGCCTGGGCGTCTGGGCGGCCGCCATCTCGGTGGCTGCGCCTCAGTTCATGTTCACAAAACAAAAAGAAAACGAGTGCCTTGGCGACTACCCTGAGGCCCTGGAGAACCTGTGGCCTGTTCTCCGCAACGTGGAAGTCAATTTGTTTGGTTTCCTGCTCCCGCTGCTCATTATGAGTTATTGTTACTTCAGAATCATGCAGACACTGTTTTCCTGCAAGAACCGCAAGAAAGCCAAGGCCATTAGGCTGATCTTTCTGGTGGTCGTCGTGTTTTTTCTCTTCTGGACACCTTACAATGCCATGATTTTCTTAGAGACGCTTAATCTCTATGACTTCTTTCCCAGTTGTGACATGAAGAAGGACCTGAGGTTGGCCCTCAGTGTGACTGAGACAATCGCGTTCATCCACTGTTGCCTCAACCCCTTTATCTATGCATTTGCTGGAGAGAAGTTCAGAAGATACCTTTACCACCTGTACAGGAAGTGCCTGGCTGTCCTGTGTGGCCACCCTGTCCACGTCAGCTTCTCCCCGTCTGAACAGACCAGCAAGCGGGAAAGCATTCTGAGCAGTAATTTCACTCAACACACCAGCGACGGAGATGGGTCCATCCTCCTCTGAGGGAGTCTCCAGAGCCTTGCCCCTACACACAGCCCGGAGCGCCTGAGCCTGCCGCTGAATAACGAAGACAGATTTTTTGTTTGTTTCTTACATGCAAGACACGATGCACCGAACCCTCTCAGACAACCCTGAAGCGTTTTTGAGCTTTGTGCCCCAAATTTGAATGCTCAAGGGTAGACATGTCTCCAACTGCAAATGTCAGGACTTTTTGTTCACAAATGACAAAAATTCAACTCACTCTAGCTTGGCTAAAGAGGAGGCAGGGAGTATTATTCACATGGTGGCCTGAGTAAGAGAGTGCCTGAGCCCTCAGAGTATGTAGAAACTAGGGCTTGAGTCCAGCTAGGATTTCCTCTCTGTGGCTCTCAAATCTCTGAGTGGTGACAGCTTAGCCAACAGAGTGGGACTGAGAACCATCCCTCTCTGGTCCCAAGGTTAAAATTCCCAGAGAAGGGCTCTCGTTGGCTGAGTTTGAATCAGATGCCCTTCCCTGGGCCAGGCTGTGGTATTCACTCAGGGAGAATAGATACGATGGCAGCTTCCATTCCAACTGCATGGTTAGAGGTCCAGAAAGCCATATGTCCAAGAAGCTGGAGGGGGCGGGGCTGTCTTGACCCAATAGAACAAGAGCTGCCCACCTACCTCCCCAGTATCTGGCCCAGCCCCCTCACCGAGCACACCAGCCAGACTTCCCTTTTTTATCATGCCTCCAAATCTGCAAAGGTTGTCCAATGACCACGGGGTCCAATCCGAGATGCTACATCACATGGTTCCACCTACGATTCCCCGTCTCTTCCCCTTCCCCAAGGAACTCAGCCCTTCAGCCAACCAATCTCTTCCAGCACGCGTCGTCCCTGCCCCTGCGCGCGGGGAGGTAAATAGGGAGAACCCTGGCCTAAACTGACAAGGGGTGGTTTCCACTCCCACCTTCGTCATCGCTCCCCGGGGAGCTCAGGGCCAGCCCAGCTTCAGCTTCCTTATCTGTAGAATGGAGATCGTGGCACTTTTCACACAGGGAGCCTCCTTCTCAGCATGAGAAACCAGCCACCAACTCTTGCTGCTCCCACCCCTCGTACCTGGTCTCCAGGCTACAGCTTCCCCCCCACCCCCCGCCGGCGCAGTGCCCACGGGGCAGCCTCGGCACAGCCCGAGGAGCCTCCAGGCTCTGCTGTGGGATGTGCCCAGATACAGAGGAGGCTGGTTGCTACAGTGGTACTCAGTGGACACCCCTGGGTACACGGATTGATGGCCTTCCCTGACCCCGCCCTCCAGACTGCCTCGAATATTCCTTTCCAGTTGCCTCGTATCAAGCCCCTGCCCATCTAAAGCTAACCCCCGTCATTGATGCCACTGCCAACCTGGGGAGCCAGGGTCGCAAGCACAGCTTTTTCCCCCTTTTTTAGTAAACATTTGGGATGGTCGAATACTTTAAAGCTTGAAAGCCAATTGCAATAATGCTAAAGAGAATGTCCTCTACTACCTAACATGCAATGTCTTCCTTCATCTGCCCACCCAGGACTTGTTTGTACTCTCACATGTTTAGAGTTGAAAGTGTAATGTACAGACCCCTCTGCAATCTGCTATTTTTCTCTTACCATTAGACCACAAATGGCTTTCTGTTTCTATATAGTTTTGTGCTGTTCGCTTTAGAAGGCTCTGCCAGGCTGCGTGCTCGCTGAAGGCAACTGACAACTCATCGCTGTATTTCTGACACTTCCTTGGGAGTCAGTACGTTGGCTTCGTCAGTGACAGAATGAATTGTGTTCCATCAAAATCACATCTCATAATTTACTCACCATTATCCTGTTGATAAACATTGCACTTGATGCCAGTATTTAGTGAATGTATATTTTACAGCACTTCTGTCCGCGTGATTTCCTTTCTCCGGTTCAATTATTTCCTTTGGATAGATTCCTCCATCATGGGGATAACTGGGTCAAAGGGCACAGGAAGTTTTTGGCTTTTGACACATACACTGGAAACTAGTTTATTACAAAATCTTAATTGAGCATTTATCATAGGCAATATGGAAGTTCAGATCCAGAGCGGCCCCAAAGATGGGTGAGACCAGGCCTCTGCCCTCAGTGGTTGAACATTTAAGCACAGAACAGAGAAGTGAACAAGAAAGCAGACTTTGCGTTCATTGGTAACACAGGAGCAGTCCGGCCTGAGTCTTAAGGGTAAGGAGCCCTCCAGGCAACGGAGGAATAGCATTCCGGGCTTAGCAAGTGACATGTGTAAAGGAGGCATGTGAGGGCACGGGGCACTTAACATGAGAAAAGCGTGTGAATTTTGAAAGGCATTAGGAGCAGACTGGGTGGGCAGAGTCTTCTGGAACATTGGCTTAAACAACTAACAAGAGGGGCGCACTCTCCTCAGGCTCTCCACTTCATCGCAACCTTTTCATTGTAAAACTTTTAATTAGATTTTTAACTCAATTTCTGGACTCCCAAGAAAAGAGGGAAACATTCTTCTGGCTTAAGAAGTAAAAGTAGAGACAAACACTTTCATTTCTAAGTGAAAATTAAATTAGTATCGTAAGAAACATTCGCTCATGCATTCTGCTGAATAAGACAGAATAGGAAGAAAATAGGGAAGTTCACTGAAAACCCTAAATAGCAATGACGTTAGTGTCTACAGAAAGGAAAGCACATTTGAAAAGGACAGTTGCCCCTGACAGCACAGCTTGGAGCAAACTCACGACGGCTTCTGAGTTCTGGGCTTCCCCAAAGCAGAGGGTTAGCGGTGGACGCCAACGGCAGAGAGAGATCTCTGGTGGAGTCCCGGCAGATTAACTTTGTGACCTTGGGCAAGTTAGTTGACATCTCTGAGGCTCAGATTCTCATCACATGAAAAAGAAGAATAAAAGCAGAAAAAAAGAAGAAGAAAATCACCTCCTAGGATTATTATGAGGATTTCGTAGGACTGCCTTCACAGTGCTCACAGTGCATGCCTGGCAAAGCAAACTCAAATAAGTGGTGGCGACTAATGTTTTTTCCTTCTGCTTCTTCTTAGATTGAACCTTTCCCAGTGAAGAAACTCAGACTATCTTGTCCTTGCCTTCCTGCTCTTCTTAGTCCCAGAATCATAGAATTTTAGGTGCAGGTAAGGGGCAGGAGACCCAGAGAGGACCAGGGGCTGGCCCAAGATCACACAGCGGTTTCATGAAAGAGGTAGATCTCTTGAATCCAAGTCTATGGATTTTTTTCCTCATCTCAGTAACAATACAGACCAATCCTATGATAACTGTAGTTAACTGTATTGTATATTTGAAAGTTATCAAGAGAGAAGATTTTAAAAATCCTGATCACAGACACAAAATTATAATTATCACTTTGGAATATATACGTGTCTAAAATCACTATTTTGGGGGCGCCTGGGTGGCTTAGTCGGTTAAGCGTCCGACTTTCGCTTGGGTCATGATCTCGCAGTTTGTGGGTTCGAGCCCCGCGTCGGGCTCTGTGCTGACTGCCAGCTCAGAGCCTGGAGCCTGTTTCGGAGTCTGTCACTCCCTCTCTCTCTGACCCTCCCCTGCTCACACTGTCTCTCTCTCTCTCTCTCCTAGAAATAAATAAAAAAACATTAAAAAAAAATTTAAAAAAATAAAATAAAATCACTATTTTGTACATATTAAACTTACATAATGTCATATATCAATTATACCTCAATAAAGCTGGGGGAAAAAATACAGACCAACCCTGCCTCTAAGAGCAGAGAACACAGGTGAGCATGGAAAAAAAAAATCCAGAAGGAAGGTCTACAGGCAGATGACTTAGGCAGGGAGGGGAGATGCTTTTCAGAATGCTGAGTTTAACAGCATCAATTCACCCACAATGACAGCTGCAGCCTGGGTTCTGTGACATCATTATCTCTCAGGAAGACAGTCAACAGACAGAAGCTCATCAGCAAAGGATACCAGGGTCCCCAGAGGCAAATCTAACTGCCGGACCTGGGCAGGTGTAGAGCCTTAGCTGAGAAGGGCCGCTGTCCAGGGATGGCCACTTCCCCCAGGGAAGCCCTTTCCAAATACTCCGACTCACTTTAGGCTTATTCTTGCTCCTCAAATGGCCATCCGAGGGAGAGGTCAGCTTCCCAGGGAAAACTGGAGAACACCCTCTTTGGACTGGTGAGAAGAGCTACTACCCCTTATAATCCACTGCGTCTGCAGCGCGTACAAGTCTGGTGGGCTTTCCATGGTCTCTCTGGGAATCTGCCCATGAGCACCTGGGGAGAGAATCACCGCTGGCCCCACAAGGCCAAGTACACGCGGGACCACGGCAACTTGACTGAGAGGTCTACCTTGGGTACCACCTGGCCCTGAAATGATGTCTCATTAGTGCCCTTCAAGTCAGGTAGTCTGTCCCAACTCAGAAGTTAACTCTCTTCTCCACCCACACGCCGCTCCCCCGGTCACAGGGAGCGCTTCGGTTTCAACATGACTTGTAATACCGTTTGCCTGACCGGCTGGGTTGGCAACCCCATGGCTGGCAGGCCACCCCCAAGGGGTATTATCTGCGAGCCAGTGACAAAAGTAGTTCTCAGCAAGTCTAGAAACATCCAGTTTCTCTTCAACACATCCTCCCTCCAAAGGAGGGCCAAGTCGTTTTCTCCAGGCTACGGGCGCCATGTCTCATTTCTGCTGAACAAGACACATTGTTGGGCAGCAGCCACAGTCCCTCCGCAGACACACCCAGACACCCTGGAAACCACAAAACATGCTCAGCAGGAAAATTATTTATACTCCATATTTCCTCATTTATTTAGGTAGAAACAAAAATACGTTTTAAGTTGCATTTGAGTACTTTCCATTTTCAATGTGTTTATTTTCTTTATGATTTTTTCTGGATACAAAAGAGAGGCACGGTCATAGAAATTACAAAAAATTAAGGAGTAAAAAGTGGGAATTACACAACATTTCATCTCTCTAAGAATTGTTTAACACAGAGGTGTTTTTCTACCACATTATTCTCTGCAGATACAAATTTAAGAAAAGATTTGAGATCATAACATACACATAGTTCCTCTTATGTTTTTCATTTAATATCATAGCATAAACATTTTTCTGTGTATTAAACTCAAACAGGGGTTTCAATGATTGCATACGAGTCCGTATGGACTTTAGCCAAGCCCCCTACCGATGGACGATGGGCGTAGAGGCAACATCAGTTTTCATTATTATGTGCAACACTGTGCTAAACGTTAATCTTTGTGCATATCTTTGGTTGTAGAAGAGGAATTACTGGATCAATGGATTGGGCATCTGCGTGTCTTTTGCTCACTACTGCAAAATTGCTTTCCAGAATGATGATGCCATGTAGCTAATGCTCCAAGCACCCTGCTCCCAGACTTTAGTGCACACACCACCCCCACCTTCCCAAGCTGTGGGGTCAGGACGTCATAGGCTTTTGTTATTTTATAAAACACTAGCTACTGACTTCAAGAATCAGAGAGAGAGAGAAAGACTTCCATTCCTGGGACACCTGGGTGGTTCAGTTGGTTAAGTGTGTCTGACTTTGGCTCAGGTCATGATCTCACCGGTTCATGGGTTTGAGCCCGGCGTCGGGCTCAGAGCTCAGAGCCTGGAGCCTACTTCAGATTCTGTGTCTCCTACTCTCTGACCCACCCCTGCTCATGCTCTTTCTTTCTCTCTCTCTCAAAAATAAATTTAAAATATTTTTTTAAAAAAAATTTTAAAGGCTTTGGGGCGCCTGGGGGGCTCAGTCAGTGAAGTGTTCAGCTTTGGCTCAGGTCATGATCTCATGGTTTGTGGGTTTGAGCCCCATGCCTGGCTCTGTGCTGACAGCCTGCTTCGGATTCTGTGTCTCCCTCTCTCTCTGCCTCTCTCCCACTTGCACTCTGTCTTGCTTTCTCTCAAAAATAATAAAAATAAACATTAAAAATATTTTAAAAAATACTCCATTCCTGAGAGGAAGTGGTAAGACTGTTATCTAGGAGAGAGAAAAGGAAAAAGAGACAGAGGATTTTAAATTTCATTTGTTATTTTTAAAGTTTATTTATTTATTTTGCGAGAGAGAAAAAAAGCATGCACGGGAGCAGGGGAGGGGCAGGGAGAGAGAGAACCCCAAGCAGGCTCTGTGTGGTCAGCGCAGATGCCGAGCTCGATGGCATGAACCACGCCATCGTGACCTGAGCCGAAATAAAAAGTCAGATGCTCAACCGACTGAGCCACCCAGGTGCCCTAAGACAGGAGATTTTTAAAAGTGACCAAGAACATCACAAAATAGGTTGTTTTAAGGAAACAGAGCCTGCTCAGTGCTTGGGTTAAAAGGAGAGGCCATCTGAGTCATAAAAAATCCGGGGGAGGGGGGATGGAGAGTCACTGTTTCATAATGAAGGGCTGGAGTTTCGGTTTTGCAGGATGAAGAGTCTTGAGATGGAGGGTAGTGAGGGTCCCGCACAGCATGGAACGTACTTAATACCACTGAGCTGTACGCCTAAAAATGGCTAAGACGGTATATTTTCCACAATAACATTCAGGAGGAAAAAACTCCAACGGAATCAAGGGAGAGAAGGAGGTAGTGACACTTCCTCTGGGGGAGAAGGTGGGGGTGTCCTCAGGGGAGAGGTAGGGATGGACGGGGCACCCAGAGAGTCCCTGGGCAATTTGAGTGTTTAAAAAATTCACGTCTTTTTAAAAAAATGTTTATTTTGAGAAAGAAAGAGAGAGCGAGCACGCACACATGCACATGAGTCGGGGAGGGGCAGAGAGAGGGAGAGCGAATCCCAAGCAGGCTCCGCACTGTCAGCGCAGAGCCTGACCCGGGGCTCGATCCCATGAACCGGGAGATCATGACCCGACCTCAAGAGTCGGACATTCAACCAACAGAGCCACCCAGGCGCCC